GTTAGTTAGTAGTAGTAGAGAGAGAGAGAGAGAGAGAGAGAGAGAGAGAGAGAAAGAATTCGAACGAGTTTGTTACGGATTGATCTGCGTGTTGACGTATAGAAATCTTTATCCCGGTTTATTTTTGTTATTTCACTTGATTTTACACACTTCTTTTGAAAAGAAGTTCGCAAGAAGATCGATAACAATTCTATTATCCCGACTACCATATATTTCGATACAATTTTACTGTGATTATCAAACAATATTGACAATAACATTTGTACTATCCTTTTTTTACAAATCATAGAAAATTGCACATTGTCTTTATATACCTTGTATCATCGAAATGAAAAATTTGCAAAAATTATAACCTGTCAATTATCCTAATTTAAAAAAGAGTTATTAAACATTTAAACCTCAATAAAAACTTGTAACGAACCAACTCATAAAAATCTCGAATTGAAAAAAAAGAAAAAAAAGGAAGATCACCTTCACCCTTGTTTGAACAAATACCAACATCATGTTTCACGTATGCAGCACATATCATAAACTGCACGAAAATCCCTAAGGCAAGATCGAAACGTATCGCACGCATGGATGCACGTACAGCAATAACGCACATCCATTCAAACCTCCGTTTCGTTTGATCGCTATTCTACGCAAACCAAGTGAAAACATTGCGTTCTCGAAACACGCGAATTTCGCTTAATACGAGCGCGATCCAGACACAAATCCACGGATATCTCAAGTTTCGACGGTTGAGGGAAGAGAGTGAACGCGGGAACAGAGAGAGAGAGAGAGAGAGAGGAAGAGGTATCGGCGACGGAGGATGGGCTCTTTCATTTCGTTGATGCAAGTTTGAAGGTTCGTAGGGTCTGACGTTTTGGGCTTGTCCGCAGATAGCCTCCAAACTCGAGGGAGGGTAAACCACCCTCCTCTCAATCTCCCAAAGTCCAAGTATCTACTTTCATCTCCGTTCTTCAATCCAAAATGGGTTTCTTCCGACACTCTTGATTCCATCGTTCGTTCGACGTTTAGTCGCATGATTTCGTCGTGTACACCTGCAACCAACCACCCTTCTCTTCCAACCACGTGGTTATCGCGCAAAAGGAATTTTCCCTCGCGGTGAAACGATTAGCCGCCACCCCCTTCCTATCGACTTCTGATACGAGTTCGCTCCACTTTCGTCATTAAGAGAAACTTGCGCGATTTCACGGGGACGCGGATGGTGGTAATATCTTTAAGAGAGTTACAACGCTGTGAAATGATAACCGGTGTCACGTTGGCAATAATTTCAACGCTGGGTTATCGATGTCATCGCGACGCGATTTATTCCACCTTAATAATGGGTGACGTTCATCATTTTTCTGAAGGGGAGAGGGGAGTGGGTTTGTGGACGATCGTTTAAGATTGATCGTTTAATGAGAAATATAATAAAGACGGTTTTATGATCTTAATGGACGAGATGATTGTTCGATTTTATTACGGTACTGTTATTTGGTATATTTAATAATACGCAGGTGTTAAGTCGTAAATTGATTTGTGTCGTGATTCGAAGAAGATGAATTTTCACTTGGGAGTAAAGGAGAGGAAGGTGAAAAAAATATTATTTCGAACGAAACTGTGCCATTACTTGTGCGAGATTACTTGACGCGAACAGGG